CCTGACTCAGGAAGATATGAATCATTCTTAGTGGCAGTTTTTCTGGTGATTAAGGGATGAAAAGAAAAGACTTCTTTACTTTGCACTTTGCTTGTCAAAAGAAATATGCTACAACATCATCATATTTTGTGAGAAAGTGTGACGTGCTACAGAAGACATGCACTATTTTTGGAATAAGCACCCCAAAATTTGTAAGAAACTTGGGTTTCATTTATCAAATATGATGCAGGAGTACATTTTACAAGAAAATAAAATTTCAACATTTCAACATTTGCAACAGGTACTTATAAAATAAATGAACATGAGGAGGTTTAAAGAATTCAAACCAGTATCATGTTTCACTATGAAAAGCTGCAACCCCGTTTAATGTTGAAAAATACTAACGCTGCACATGTGTAAGTGCTTAAATATACAAGGAGACAGGGCCTTTCTGTTAGTCGACTTGGTTTACAGTAATTTGCCAGCTGCCGTTTCCGTTGAGAATGTGTGCGTGGGCTTCCCTCGGGCTCACTCCTCCTCTCTCCTCTCTGCGAGTTTGCTTGCAGATCAACGCCGTTGTGCAAATCGACAGAGAAGAAGACAAGAAATCATGGCTTCTGAAAAGTTTTACTTGCGCTTGCTCACCTTTGTGACCCTATTGACTGTACTGGCACTCTCGGGTAATTTTTTCTCTCTTTTTCTTGCACTTAGCAGCTCACGTTTTCTTTCTTTCTAAAATGCCTGCTAAAAGTTTCTTGCACAGTCTGAAGTATGAATGTGGGCGATTCACCTGATATTGTAAGCAGAAAAGGTGGGAAAGGTCAGTAAATGTACTGTGAGCAGAAATAAATTTAATTGTTTGGTCTGTGGATGTGCACTTTAAAGACAAATAATTATTTTCTATCATCAAACAGCATGTTAAATGTGTGAAAGGAGCTGTAAAAGCAGGAGAGATGCAAAACTTATGAAACATAAACAGTTATGAAATCTCTGCGGTCGTATGTCTCACTAAAATCTTCAAAAGTGAATTGGACACCTACTTGCAGGTTATTAAGACTATATGTTTTTCGTCTTTGCATAGGCTTATGATCCCACTCCCTTCCCCCCGTCTGATTGAGTCAGACTTTCCACAGAGAGTTTGAATGCATGAAAACCACATGTTGAATCAGAATTCATCTGTGGCCTGCATGTCTGACACTAAAGCAATACAATAAACATTAACTAATTAACCAAAAATATAGCCTAACACAAAACACTTAAGAGGAAAAAAAAAATGTGTATAAAATATAATCATATGTGATGTGTCACGCAGGGAATTTTGGGAATGTTCGTTTTAATAATGTCATTGTAAATTATATGGTAATTCATTGTTTTACTTCCACAATTTGACATTGACAGTTTTTACATAAATGTGACAGTATTTTGCTTTTTACTGTAGCATTTTTACAGCTTTTTTCGTAAAAATTACAAAAATGTTAACACTGTATACGTTTGTAATTTAAAAAAAAGTAATTTGTACAAATATATTTTTTTAAATGTATAAAAGATATACATCCTAATTCAGTTTTTGATATTTTCTAGATGTTGCAAGTGAGAAGACTCTGGAAAAACTCTTGATGAAAAAAGGTAAATTTTTTTATTTTATTTTTTTTGTCAGCAAAATATTCACCAGTGCAAGAACATGGAAGACTTTTCGATATAAATTTTCTGAAAACGTGTCTGAATATATTATACAGTTTTGCTCAATTTTGCTAAAATCGTGTCATTTGAAAACATAAACATTAAAGTATGTTTAAGTATCTTCTGAAAACTTTTTTCATAGTCCCACTAATATAAAAATACCTATGGGTGTACCATGACCCTGTCGATTGGCTTTGTCTCCCACTAGTGGACGGTGATGTAAAGCCAGCTGCAGCTGTGGCTGTGACTCCCTCCAGGGCCAAACAGTTCCTGGCCTCCCTTAAAAGACCCAAAAGGAACCTGTGGGACCGCAGCCGCCCTGATGTTCAGCAGTGGATCCAGCAGTTCATGTACATGGGCTTTGATGAAGCAGTGAGTGCTTGTTGTCATTTCTTAAAAATACCATAAACCAGTTTCATCTACTAAAGGTTTTTAAATGATTTATGAGCATCAGGTAGCGACTGATACCACACCTTTATGTCATTCTTTACTGTAAAGTGACTGTAAAGCGCAAAAAAAGCAGATCAGTCATAGCGAAATCCTTCTCGCAAATGACTCCTTGCAAATGAAGCCAGGTGCAAATCACGTGCCTGCGTTCAGCCGGTAAATAATCGTATCTGACATTCAATAATAAGAGGTCACTGGGGTTGGCTATAAATACGCGCATCTCTTCATGAGCGCAGCGCTGGTTACACTGGCACCTGGTTTCACCTGCACATTCCGGGGGTAGGGGGGTTAGAGTTAGGAACCCCCTGGAGGACCGGGTGAAGCTGGAAGTAGGGCTAATAAGCCTGCAAGGTAGGTGGGTGGGAACCAGGGGGAGCCCTAGATAGTAATCAACATTTTTCTTTTTTTAAATTACGTGTTTCCAAAAATAGACTTACCAACAGTCATATCACTTTACATCACATTCAACAAAGTACCAAAAAGTACCATGGTGTTTTGAACATAAACAATGTAAATATCATGGTATATGTCAGTATCGTGCTACCATGGTATTACCATTTGATGCTCTCACTGTACTATGGTAGGCTACTGCCAAACAGTATAGAGCTATTTGTGTGAGCGTTTCATTACAGAGCTGCAGCTTCTATTGATTTATGTGTGTTTGTAATATCAAATAGTCTAATATAGAGACATACTATGTAAACGGGTACATTTTTAATATAAGAATGTCAATGGTTATATTATCTTTAAATATAATGATGAATAGCTCAATGCTTTTGATACTCAATTAGGCTGGTTTTAATATCAGTTACTGAAATGTAAGTAATATGCTATTTTAACTTCAGTCGAACCAATTTCCATAAAGATATAGTTTATACAACACTGTCTCTGTATATTTCATTCGTTTCTTGATGTTTGTGAAAATGTTTGTCCGTAAACGCACGGCTTTATTTTTCCAGCCTGCATCTGGAGGGTGCTTTGTAAGCATCAATAAGCGATCCCTTTGTGTTTTCTTTAGGTTAGGGCAGGGGTGCCCAAACTCGGTCCTGGAGGGCCGGACACGGACAAGGAGCAGGTTTTGTGTGAATGGGCCTAGAGCAGGGGTGCTCAAACATGGTCCTGGAGGGCCGGTGTCCTGCAGAGTTTAGCTCCAACTTGCCTCAACACACCTGCCTTCAAGTTTCTAGTATGCCTAGTAAGAGCTTGATTAGCTGGTTCAGGTGTGTTTAATTGGGGTTGGAGCTAAACTCTTCAGGACACCGGCCCTCCAGGACCGAGTTTGGGCACCCCTGGGTTAGAGTTTCTTTACTAAAACAACTTTAAAATTTTCTCGGCTTGCTCAATTCTTCAGGTTCCAGTTTCTTTACTAAAACTATTTTTGAAGGATGTAACCACTTCCATAAATATTAAATGAACAATACATACGGAATAATGTGCAAACAGCCAGTTGTTATTTCAAAATAAACACCAGGTGGACTCCTGATGAGAAACCGTCCCCTTGGAATTATAAGATTCTATCTGCATTCCGAGTACTTTTTGAGATATTGAGCTTCAAAAAATTTTGCATGCCATTCAACTGTGTATAGAACCTTTTTTTTTTTTTAATAAAAAGTCCCAAAATGTATACAACATTAATCACATAATGTAAATAAGTTGGCACAGAATAAGAATATGTGAATAACTCAAAAACACGAGCACAGCTATATGTAGGAATGTCCTGATTGACTAATCAAATGTATAAAATGTCATGTTTTTATGTATGTGACATCTTGTTTCAGACTTCTGGGATTTATATTTATGGTTGAACCTTTTTCCTCCCATTTCCTTCAGAGACTTGAAACGGATCTGGCCTACTGGATGGACCACTACCGCTCCAGTGACCAGGGTCGCCAGCATCACTATGATGAAAACTCTCCCATAGGGCCTCGCAGCGCTGGCTCTTACAGGCACGGGGCAAACGTCAATTATGACTACTACTAAAACAACAAAGACATAACCGCTCTGATTTAACAGTGCTTCTTCCTTCTGTAGCTTGTACTTCCTTTTGTAAATGAAGATAACTTTTCAATTTTAAAAGTTCACACATAAATGAAGAATGTCATCATTTACTTGAAAATGACAAAATCATACCAGACAAATATCATAAAAGTAGCCTATAGAGTTGAGAACCACTGCCATATATACCATATGCTACCTTTATGTGAAGAAAAGACTGAAATTTAAGTCATTACCAATAATCTTTTGGACCAATGAGTAAATGATGACCGGCTCATTTCTGGGTGAACTTGGTGTCTGTCTGGTGTTGTTTTCAAAAGGCTGGAAAGAGTGTTACAATAAAAACCACAGCACCTAGGTTGTTTGTTTGTTTGTTTTTGAAAGAAATTAATACTTTTATTCCACAAGGACGCATTAAATTGATCAAAAGTGACATTTACAATCCTACAAAAGATATTTTGAACTTTCTATTTATAAAATTCACAAATTGATAAATGTTTCTTGAGCAGCAAATCAGTATATTAGAATGATTTCTGAAGGATCATGTGACACTGAAGACTGATGCTGAAAATTCATCTTTGCATCACAGGAATAAATTACATTTTAAAATGTTCAAATAGAAAACAGTTATTTTAAATTTGTATTAACATTGCACAATATTACGGTTTTTACTTTATTTTTGATCAAATAAATGCAGCCTCGACAAACCAAAAATGACTCCTGACATAACACAGACAAAAATCAGTGATGAACGGAGAAAAGCGATATAAACGGGAATGCAGAGATAAAATAAAATGTGATAAATACAATACAAATGTGAAATGACTTTTCATTAAGCAGAAGGACAGAGAAAGTGAGACTAAAAATAGAATACAGTGAAAGTCACAGTAAATATTTTTTATTAAAATATTATTTTCACCTGAAATCAATTATAGGTTCAAAGTTCTGTATGAAGTTTCACAAAGGTAACAACAGCTTTTGCTCAAAATCATCACAAAGTTTAAAGCAGAAAGAACATTTTCCAAAGCTGTTTTTCATCCGTGTCCTCAAATTTCTTGACAGAGCTGGATGAGGTTTCCAGCTCCAGACCAGACATTCGAGATCTTTAAATAGTTTGCAAACGCTAATTTTCTACAGGTGTCCATTTAGCAATAACACAACGCTAGCTTTGACAATGATAAAAAAATAAGATCACATCAATTAAAACGGCACAGAATGTAAACACACAACACAAATGCACATGAAGATCTAAGCTTGCTTTAAATAACATACAGACGACTGACAAACCAAAGTGCAAGGCAAAGTCTGTAAATCGGATATCTTTGAGGCACATTTGACTGAAAAACAAACTCTTTAGAGACAGCTCTCTGCCTGAGCTGCTTTTCAAAACATTTGCGAAAAGCATCAGAAAAATTCCTTTTTTTAATTTATTTATTTTTTCAAAAAGATGGATCTGAAAGTGGGAGGTGGGAGACCCACGCTGTAAAATGGTTGCTGGACGTCTAAGGTCCTTCAGTATCCCAGCATCCCTGAGATCAACACAATTCATCAGTTGTGTCTGGGTCTTCCTTTTTTCATCCGTGCAGCTTTGGGTTTGGGTATATACTGATTGTTGGCTTGATGCTCCAGCTCTCTGCTGAAGTACTGGATGGTTTTGTTCAAGCCTTCCTCCAGTGGCACCTGCAAACACACAAATCACATCTTATTAAACGGACTGTTCCAACTATGAATTATGATAGGATCAACCATATTTGAGACTGTCGTAAAAATAACAAAACACACACTAGTGACTGTACACATACTATGTAAATGTGCCTACGGTTAGACTAATGAACAACTAGGAAGAATGAATATTCCTGATTATTAATATAAATAATTTATAATATTCATAAAAATTCAATAATTATTAATATTACTACTAGGAACAATTATAATGATTAATGTAAAGAATTTTATTATAAATTAACATGTAAAACCATCATAAAATTAAAGGCATGTTTCTTGTCTTATTATAGAGCATATTAAATAAATAAATAGATAAAAATTAGTGCTGGGCAACGATAAATCGCATCCAAAATAAAAGTTTTTATTTATATAATAAATGTGTGTGTACTGTTTATATTTATTATGTATATATAAAGACACACACATACAGTATATATTTATATATAAATATATTTAATATATAAACATAAAATGTTTCTTAAATATTTACATTCATGTGTGTGTATTTATATATACAAAATAAATATACACAGTACACACACATATATTATGTACACAAAAACGTTTATTTTGGATGCGATTAATCGTTGCCCAGCACTAATAAAACAAACTATAAATGTATAAGAATAATAGAAAAAATAAAAACAATAAATATATAAATAAAAGTAAATCTATTAAAAAAAATCTATAAATAAAAAAAAATCTACATACCCACATTTTTGGGTAAAATTGCCCTAATATTCATGATGCTCACCACAGGTTCCCAGCCCAGAAGCATTTTGGCCTTGCGGATATCTGGCCGTCTTCTCTGTGGATCATCCTGTGCTTCTGGAAGGAACTGAATATGACTGCGGCTCACTGAGGAGACAATCAGCGGCGTGCTGTTCCTTTAATCATAGATTCTAAAACCTCATTTGCAATTTTATACAATTTCTACTTACCAACTAGACTCTTAATAAGCTGTGCAAACTCTAGTATAGTGTGTTCCTCTGGATTGCCCTAGAAGCAAAGAGAAGAGAAGAGAAGTCTTTTTTAGATTTATAATAGTTGTCCAGTCCATATAGCATAAATGTACTTGTTTAAACATGACAAACATATTTTCATGTAATCAAATTGCCTGTTTTTGTGTCTTGGTTAATATTAATTACTATAACAATGATCAATAGTATATTTGTAAATTAACACTATATTATTACAAACTGTAAAAGAAAGAACAATAAAATCTAGTGCTGAATCGCTTAAAATGGAATGCACAGGTTTTTGCAATTAAGCATTTAGTCATTTAGCACAGTGTTTCCCAACCGGGGTGCCGTCTGTCGAGAGCAGGGGTGCCGTGTAAAAAATCCTTTTTTAAATATTTTTAAATTGCTAAAATAAAAAAAAAAAACATCTATTATATAATATACATTTCTGATGTCGCCAATAATTAAAGATGCACCGAAATTTCGGTGATCATATCGAAGTTAGAAATTCAAATATCGTGACAAAATTAATTTTGTAGGGTGCCACAAGTTTGTTAAAATTTCCAAAGGGTGCCGCGACTGAAAAAAGATTGGGAAACACTGATTTAGCAGACGCTTAATCACAATTCATTTTAAAGATCTAGAAATGTTGTTGTTTTTCTCCTTTTTATTTGCGTTTGAATTGTTGTCTTTTAGTTGTTGTGATCATTTTTTTTTTTAAATAATTAAGCTAAACTAAATGAAAATTGTAAAAAAAAAAGTACAAATACAAAAGTAAAAAGTAAATTTGAAAAGTTGAAGTAATTATTTGAAAGTTATGTTAACTACAATAAACCTGTACTGACGCCTCAGTTAGGAAGTTTTTTTTCTTCTCAGTTTCTAAGGATAAAATGATAACTAGCCATTCAACATTACAGTACAACTGAAAGCCAGGCCTAAACTCTTAATTACTGGATTGTTTCTATTTATCATATATTAACAATTACAGAGTATTTTTTTAATAAACAGTGTACTATAACAACTCGATGAGTGAATAATGCCTGAAGGCAAAATGCTAAACTCACCAGGTTAACTGGACTACTGATGTTACTGTTCATCAGGGACACCAGGCCATTCACCAGATCACTGGGGGAAAAAGAAACAACTAAACTAGAGTATGTGGCATCACGACAAAGCACAGTGAAAGAACAATGCAGATGCAATGACTTCATCTGAAGTGACGTGCAAATGAACGAAATGGAAATAAAATGATAAACTATTTAAACTCATTAATTCAATAGAAGCCTTTGGCAATTTGCAAATCTGGCTGTATGAATGAGTCACAGTTCATTTTCTCTTCAGGGTGTTCAGACACACATATGTGAATTCCTTCAGTGTGTGTGTGTGTGTGGGCATGAACACAGCGGGGCAGCAGAGATCTCGCTAACACACCAGTGCAGCAGCCATTCAAACCTTCAGATTCAATAACAGATTTTCATTTAATGTAAGAGTTTCAGCACACATCCAGTCCATTCAGTCTCAGAGAGGAGACAGCATAATGACCATTAATAACAGTCTCAAGTGCTGTCATCTACACCTCCACAAGGACAAAAGAACCAAACTAACCCTGCTAGTGCAGATCAAGTGTAAATCACGATGCTTAAGAGCTTTTAATTGTACTTGCCATGACTTAACTGGATGCAATGCAGATTGTGAATGTGAATAATGAATGGTTAAGGCTCGCAAGGTCAGTTGAGGAACTGGGAAGGACAAACTTGTGGACATTTATATTTTATTAAAGCCTTGAGAGTCCCAGCAGCTTACGGCAAGAGGAAGCTTAAAAAAAAAAAGAAGTGTGCAATATCCCTTAAGTTCAGTTGTCTGCCTCCACCAACTACTCTAATAACTGCCCAATACACATGAGAAGTGATAAAGCATTTATTCGATCAATTGGTTTCTATAGACCCTTTTTTGGCCCAAAATGCCACTCGTTGTAATGGTATGGCTCTTCAAAAATCCTTTGATTAGTCATTATTGTGTCAAGTGAAACAGTTTTGCTGCTTGACACAGTAATGGTTCAGTGTGGCTTGTTGGAAAAATTGCTAGTTGCTTACAAATAATAGTTTTTGGTAGGGCTGGCTCGATACCACTTTTTCAGGACCGATCCCGATCCGATATAAAAAATTAACGATATCTGCCGATATCGAACCGATACCAGCGCAGTTTTTTTTAAATCAGTGTAGAATTTCTATACCTCAGTGTGTGTTGACCTGATCATCACTCTTTTGTATGTTACACACATTCTACTAAATATAGACAGCTTCATTATAAAGGAAAATAACAAAAAAAAAATATATATATAATCATAATCTATGACAGAAATACTACAATAAACTAGGTTAATGGATAATTCAGTAGCAAAAGTTACTCTAGAAAAATCATGAGTGCACAATAATTGTATAAAATCCTAAACTTTTAGTGAAAAAAAAAATACATTATTTAGTGGGGATCAAATAAAAGTGAATAAGTGTAGGACTAAATCTGGAACACACTGCTCTTTGTATTGTTGCAAAATACATGCATGAAAAACAAGTCATATATTTATATATAAATATATACTATAGTCAACATTTGAAGTGGATCAAAACCTTTCATCAAAGTTGTCCTAAAACCAAAACAATACCCGTTCTTGTCTTAAGACAACTTTGATGAAATTTTTGATCCACTTCAAATGTTGACTACTGTATAAATTAAGACATTTCTTTTAAATGTATAGCAGAGTAATGAGGCAGCAACATATGATAGATAAGACGAACAAGAAAGGCTTTTAATAATCTTTCATTGTGCAAAAGTATTATGATACTAAAGGCTCCAAATAAAGAGCATATGCTTATGCGCATCCCGTGCGCAGAATGACGCGCTTGAAGCAACACGGAGTCACAGCGCGCAGCATAGAAAAGTTCAAAGCACAAAGTAAAGATATATTGATGCGTAGTGTATTAAATATGTGCGTTAGTTTATTGAGCCTTTTCTTTTAACAGTTTTACATTTCAGTTACTGTGCTCGTGACACTACATGCCCTAGAATCTAGAAAAAAAATAAATAAATACAAAATAAAAATAATAATAATTAAAATACTCAAAGTCATAAGAATGGTTCATCCAAGAACTATAATTCTGTCATTATTTTCTGACAAAACTGTTTGTGTTCCATGGTTAAAGAAAAAACAAAAACAAACAAACAACCGGTTTAGAATAATATGAGGGAATAAATAAGGGCAGAGTTTTTATTTTTGGGGTGAACTATTCCTTTTAGATGTGCGCCAAACACAAGCCACAAGAGTTGCCTTTGATCTGTCAATACAGCTGGAATGATAGATGTGAATTGGTCTCTTTCCCTTTAAAAACACTATGAGATCAATCATACTGGTCCATCTTCTCTTCACTGAGTGTACACTGCTTATTTAAGATAACACTACCGTATTTATCTGTAGGATGAATCAGCCCAGAGCTGCAGTGCTATCTCCTTGAGCGGTGTGGGCTCTGACCCTGAGAGGGATATCAGAGCCTGTGGAAATCCAAGTTTTCAAACAAGTGCCACGTTTATATATGAGTTCACTTTACCTCCGATCATCTCATCCTTTCTTTAGTGTGATGTTTGACTGATGTCTTTTCCTCCAGACCATATGCATATTAATATTTAACTTTTGATATTGAAACTAGCAACAACAATTGTGCAATTACACTTGTATTGCTATCAGCTACTGGAATTTGGTATTGACAACCTTATTAGTAAGTATATAAGAGCAGCTCAGCCTGCATCTTTCCTGCTTTTCATAGGGACAATAATGTCATTAAAACTGATACAACAAGCCGTGAAATGTCTTAAACCACAAAGGAGAAAAAAGCTGATTTTACCAAGACTTAGATAACAGAGAAACATCACAGATAAGATGGCCAAGATGGTATGAGGTACCATGTTTGGGAACATTGAGTGAAACTACATGCTGCTTGTATGGGACGCCTTCAATATGTTAAATTGGTGATACTGCCTTCTTTTAAATGTGATGCAACACAATTTCTAATCCGGTTTGGCCAACCCTGCTCTTATCTACTGCTCTTCTTTTAAAGGTCGAGGTTCTGCTGTCCAAAAGACCGAAAATGTGTTTAAATACAGAATCAATATTTCCTGAGGCAAACATTTGAAAGTTCAAAACTGAAAGTCAAGGTTGAAAGATTTTTAATTTGTATAGATTAGTGCATCAAGTTTTCCAATTCATAACTATTTCACATTTTTGGAAATTGGTAGTGAAATTTGTATGATCATTCAAATCATACCAATAAATGTGAAATTGCCAACTCGTAAAAAGTAACATTTTCAGATGAAACTGAGTTAAAATGTTCTTTTATAAGCTAGAATACCAAGAGCTGTAAACAATTTCAGTCAGTTTCAAAGAATCACATAGAGCATGTTGGGCTAGTTTCCTGACTTACTAAAGACTCTTTATGCTGTTTATTTCTTTATGTTAGTGATATTTGTGTAGGTATTATTATCATTTAACACACTGAACAAAAACACTGCTTAAAGCACTTCAAGAAAATTTAAAATACTCTATATATAACTTCTATAACATTAATGTGCTTGACGTTTTTGTATCCAAGGTGATTCATTTAAGGTATACATTCTGGGGCCTGTTTCATAAAACAAGTTTACCAAATAGGCCAGGCTTATTTCAATTAGTCTGACTAATTTTGAACCAAATCAACTGACGATAAGTCAGACTAACTGAAATAAACCTGGCTCATTTGGTAAACTTGTTTTATGAAACAGCCCCCTGGTTCTGTGGCCTAAGATGGCTGTGCCTGCAAATCACATGATCTGTTCACCAAAAATAGTTATTTGTGTATCAGTTTTACTTTATTTTATTTTATTTATGTTTAAGAAGAAAATAAGAAGACTCATAATACTCAGACACCATATATCAAAATGTAAATAATTACATATTTTACAAACTGCGCC